TTCTGAAGTCATTTACCCAAGCATAATTGAAAGGAATTCAGCTGAAGTCTGAGAAGTCCTCCTGGTATGAAATGGCTTGTGAGGTCAGAATCATGACTTTCCCCTTGTCATTAAGGCATTTTAACTGGAGGTACTTCTGATCAGAAAGGAAATGAAAAAAAAACAAACCAAAGGGCAAAACTGTCTGAAGCAAAGCATTTGGATTTCTTTTTCTACCTTAGGAAGAAAATGAGTTTATTTCAAAGTCAGACCAGGGACAGTCAGCTTCTGAATCAAATGTTGGACACTTCCTTTCCACCATGAGTTCCAGTCAAGCTATCATTTGCCTTAAGTGACCTTTTGGCTAAATGCTTAAAGATCAGTCCATCATCTACATGTGATTATTGACTATGCAAGAGAACTGCATCTGGGAAAAGTTATCTTTCAGGTCTGCTTTCCTGCCAGTGTAGAACTTGCATCCCATTTGTATGTATTGTTCCTCTTCCACAGAAGCCAATATGGCTTACGAAATCTTGTGTTCTTTTCCAGCAAACTTTTGCTGAATTTCTATGGTCTTTCTCAGAATGGTGCTTTTATTCCTTCAATGGGAACAATCATGGTTGTTACATGAAAGCTGGTTGCCCTTTCAAGAGCAGCATCCAGACCTCTCTGCTTGCTTCCTATTGCTGCAGCTTTACTCTCCATGCCTCTCAATTGACCCAGTTGGTATCTCTAGTTGTGCTGGTTATCTCATGCCATCCCCCTTTCGTCCGGTCTTCTCTCAGAATCCATGACAGCCATGAGGTGCTTACTTTCAACCCTAACCTTTTATGCTTCTGATTTTTATCCATGACAGCCATGAGGTGGCCAGATTGTATCTTGTGTCAATGTCCACCTCTCTTCACCCCTGAGAGTCCCTTTCCTGGCTTTTTTTTTAAGTTACCTTCTGCCTTCACTTCAACCAAGCCCCTCATTGTAAGAGGAAAATTAGCGCAAGCCTGCAGAAGTAGTGGAGACAAAACTAACTGAACAGTACAGAGGCCCCAGACTTCCTTTTGAGTGTCTCTGCAACACTGAATCAAAACTGCTGTTAGCATTCCACTGGTTCTAGAGACTCCACAGGGATCAACTGTCTTCAAGAAGGGTCAGGCCTTCAGGACACAGGCTGTTTTAACTCTCAATCTGACTGTGAGGACCTTGACACCATACATTACAGGCCATAATGCATTACACAAGCATATGTACTGCACAAACAAATGTTAAGAGAAAAGCTTAAAAGCTTTTTGAATACCTCAATTAAATCCATTTGGTTTAACTACAACTACTAGCCAAAACCGAGATGGGGAAAAGAAAACTCGGAACACCAGGGCAGAAGGCAAGCAGAAAGCTGGATTTGGAGCTGAATCCCTGCACGTGTGTTGCCAGGCCGCAGTCTTACCTCTTAGCCTAATCATAATCACGGATGTGTCATTCTACGCTATGGATTTTAATTTTCTGTTAATTAGCTCAGTCCCTGGTTTTGAACAACTGTTCCCTCAGTCAGGATAGCTGCAGAGTTTGGAGGAAAACCCACCCGCAAATGTATCCCAACTGCAGCTGTGGTAATTAAACCCAAATAATTAAGACATTCACAAGCAGCATGTGAGATGTCTGGAAACTGGCAAGAAAGTTTTCTGTGCAGGCACATGTCACAGCAGGCTGGAAGCAAGAGCTGCTGCATGCTTGTGTGTGTGTATGGAGAGCTCACTTCGGCTTTCTCAGGGAGGAACAGATCAGTGTGCAAGTGTCGTCTTCCTGATTGAGCCCTACTGTCGTGGGTTGTTAAACAAACAGAATCCCACAAAACAAACCACAGAAGTATTTTGAAATGGTATTGCCAATTTTAACCATTTTTTGAAACCAAAAGACAAACACTGTCATGTTCACTTGTATACCAAGCTTTCAGTAGGCATAACTTAAATGCCAAGTTATTAACCACTGTACAACTGTATTTGTACTGGAAATTGCATCTGACCCTTTCAAAGAGCTTCAGACACATGCCACACTCGACCCCATGGTGTTATGGATACACTTGAAACTGCAGAAATGTTGTTTAATTCTTCCATTTAGCTTTTGAAACTCTGTGGATTCAGTGTGCTGGACTTTAGCCCAGACTTTCATATTCAGTCTGAAGCCTTACAGGGAGAGTTCTGGAAAATGCTTTTGGCATTGGCAGACTTCTTTCTTACCTGCCCATATTAGACCAAAGAAACACTGGCAAAAAGTATGACTCAGGCACTCTGAAAACTCCAGAGTGTAAGAATGTTGGATATGTTCAAGCCAGTCATGGTGTATAAAGGAAGGGAAGAAACTCTCTTAATTCCCTAGAGTCCAGGTATAAATCATAAAAGAAAGTTCTTGTCAGCAAACTGAGAGGTTAACTTCATGAATTATGGAGTAACAAGACTCCCTTCCTTACTTAAAGCCTCTCTTCTAAGACATAACTTTATCCTCCACACAACTGAAGTCGCTCACTCCGCAAGTAGAAGTTTAGCTGATACAACCGAGGAGAGTTAATCTCAGTAACATAAACAGGCAGAGCCTGATTTTTCCCTCCAAGCATTTCTGACTCCAATAGTAAAATTCTAGTGGACAGAGCCCATCTAGTGTTGTTAATTGAGATCAGGCTCTAGAAGAAGATTGACTCATTTCCTAAGACCAGTAGGTGTAACCTACTGCTGTGATCTTTGTAAAGAATAGTGGGCTAGGGACAAAAGCTTTCCTTTAAAGAGCTCTTAACCTACAACCATTCAAGTTCCCTTTCTTCCCTTTCCTTAACCGAATTGGTGGCATCCAAGGAAGAGGCAAGAAAATTTAAAAAGGCGGAAAAAAAAAGGATAAGAACAGCAAAAAGCCTTGGCAAAAAAATCCTCAGCCCTTATCTAAATCCAGAAAGAGGCTATTTTGTAGAGTGCTTTGGTCACATGCGGTATACGTACAAATATTTCCTCAACTGGAGGCAGGAATTAGTTCCCTGATGAAAGATGTGAAACACTGAATGCGTTTATTTCTTACTTTGCATGGGTTCAGTCTAGAAACAAACTGGACTTGTGAGAGCCTGCGTGGAAGAACTTCATAGCGCACCACAGAGCCTTGGAGCTTGCAGCTCCGATGAGCCCAGGAGTGCTGCTCACATTCTTGAGTGCCATCTGCTGGCACCTTGGCTGTGATCTCGGTCTTGCACACAACGGGGGATCCTCCCGGCGGTTCAGCACCTCCCTGAATCCACCCCTATGCTTTGTTCAAACCAAAGCTGACTTGTCCTCCTATGCAAGAGGGGCTCTGAGCAGTGATGCTCAGATGGCGATGGAAAAGTAGTACATGTAGCACAGGACTGTTGTTTGCATGGATCACTGATGAACACCTTGTGTGGTGCTCCCTTTGAGGCTACTAAGAGAGAACATGGAAGGCTGATAAACCCTTATCCTGTTAGAGGTATTTGCTTGCCTCAGTTGAGAAGTCTGTGAGTGTATTGCTATTTTCACATAATACACTAAAAACTTCTTGTTAGCACACTGTAAGTTACAGTATCTCTCTTCAGTCAGTTGTGTGTGGGCATGTTTGAGCACAACTGTTTGTAAACCTGTATGTAGTAATGCAAAAAAAAATCTCTGTGTTTTGGTGTTAAACCTACACTATGTTTGCAGGAGGTTTTGTATTCATAATTCCGCAGATTCCAGAAAGCAATTATTTTCTATACAGATGCTGGTTTTAGTAACCCTAATATACTATAGGAGAGATTTATTTTTTGTTAGCCTTGGCATTAGACAAGTCCTTACTCAGATTTGCACAGTGACCAGATAAATACCTCATATGGTTTCAAAGCTTCTACCAACTCTGAGGAGCCATCACTGCTCTTCCTAAGCTGGCCAAGTGGGTGAATATACACTCGTGGTCATCACATTACTCTGATATGAGCAGGTGATTTAAATACAGCGTTTTGAGCTGCCACACATGATCAGAACTCTGAAACTTCAGGACCCTTGAAGTGAGGTTTATCCTACCTCACGGGGAACAGATACAGTCAGGTAAGGTATTCCAGAGCAGACGCAGGGAAAGGAAGCTAGGCTGATAGCCTCCGTCTCAAGTTTATACAGAGCAAAGAATGGGATTTCTATGTCTGGTATTCAAAATCTTATCTCAGCTGTTGCTTTCCTGAGGGTGTTTCAGAGGTGACTCAAGGTGAGCTGGGTTCTGAGCTCTGCTCTTTGCAAGACCTGGCATATTTTTACCTGACCTGGGGCTTTGACAGGCAAGCACCAGCTCATCTCACTGTAGCCACATAAGCCATGACTGTTGCTACTGCCCTCATGAACCAGGTGTCAGAAAGGAACAGGCTGTGCCTGAGCACTTCCCTTGCATAGGTTGGTATCTTTGCCCCATCAACTTTCATGTTTGTGGTAAAACAAGCTGGATTCCATGCTGGAGCTGCTGCAGCGTAGGGACAGCTCTCCTCTTCTGCTTTCTGTGCCTGGAGGATGCCAGTCCGGCACAAAAGCAGGGCACTTGGGAAGAGCTGATAACGACTCAAATCGCTGTGGCCAAAGTCTCTGGAGCGCAGTCAAAGCCTGTGGGGCCATTTCATAATCTCCCTGTGCCACTGAGCTCTGATCTTTACAACAGCACAATAGCCTGCTTTATCTACACGCATTACAAAGATTTTGTGGCTGATACTGTATAATACAACCTACATGTTGCTGAGCAAAACGGCGCTTTCCCTGCCCTTCCTTTGTGGGTTTTGGCACGCAGGTCCTGCTGTGTCAGTGTTGCTGCATGCCCACTGTGTGGGCCGGCATACGAGTGCCACTGACGGCCCGGGCTGTGCTGTGTGCCCAGTGCTGCCTGCACTGGCGCCCTGGGCGTGCTGCGCGGCGGGGCGCGAGGCAGGGCAGTGAGACGCGGCTGCCGGCAGCCGTGCAGCACCCGTGCTCCGGGGCTCCCCAGCCACACCCAGCGTGAGGAAGGGGAGCTGGAGCTGGCAGCACAGTTACCTTCCTCTAGCATCTTGTTGAGCTGCAATCAAACCAGATCTGGCACCGCTTCTCCCAGAGTGTGTTCCCCCTTTTGTGAGGTGAAAACCAGTCTTTGCCGGGCCACAATCTCTTCCCGCCTTTTGCATCCCTGCCTGACTGGGCGTGGGGCTTTTCCTGCCCTTTTGGGGCTGGGGACAGGACAGAAACCACACGAGGAAAAGGCGGGAGCTCCGTGAGGGGACCGGGCTGGTTCCCCTTTGTACCACAGCCCTCAGCGCGTCGGGGAGGTGACAGGGAGGCTGAACCCTGCAGCCGGGAGGGCATCGCGCTTCCCTCACCTCAGTGCAGGGCTATGCCTCAGTGCCGAGGGGCAGGCATGTGCCAGTGCTCTGAAGCTGGCTTCTCACTGTCAGACCGGCCTTCTATGCGTTTTCCAGCTCTCAAGAGGTCCCTTCCAGTTGGTAGACTTGTTTCCTTCTCCTCTACCCCCCGGATTTTGGGTGCCTCAGAAGAAAAGGGAGAAGGTCCTTTCAGCTCACTGCATGGAGGCCCTGCACCTAGAATGGCTGCCATTGAGCAGGGCTGGCCACAGTCGCCCTGGTGTGTCAGGATCAGGGTGAGTTTCTGATTTACAAAATCCTTCACTGGGGTTTCTGTATGGGGTGGCAGGAGCTGTTAACACTTCTACGGGCTACTGGGGCAGAGCTGACTTACTGAATTAGTGTAGGCTGGAGATTTTCCTAGGCTCAGGCTGATCCCTGGGCAGTTCCGTATCATAGAAACAGGGCACAAGAAGAACTGAGGCCGTTAATCAGGGTATCCCGTACATGACTTGCTTTATTTTTTTAATGTAATTTACAGGCTAAAGAGCATGAAGAAACAGCAGCACACTGCTCAGCAGGGTTCCTATGCGAGGATGCTCATCTCTTGCCTGGGTGTTACTCACAGTGAAGCAAATACAGGCCCCTAAGGAAGGAGCGCAGCAGACACCGAACTGGCAAAATACGGAAAGTAAGATTGAAAAGAGAACATGAAATCATCTAATAGATGCAGAGCTGTTTACTGGGGCCTAGTTTGCCATGGGAAAATGAGGTATTTACTGCTCTTTTCTGTCACAAATCCTTACACAATGCATCAGCAGAGCAATCCTGGTCTTTGCTTGGAACTGCTATGGGAAGAACTACCTTTCCCACTCTCTGATTTGTTCTGTTACTTTGAGGACAGAGCAGTTTCTCACCAGTGCTGGAGGTGTGCCTACGCTGGAGGGATGGCCTATGCTGTCCCTGGACTGCCACAGTATAAGCATACTTCAGAGTGAGCAGTGCAGGATTTGTACCACAACAGAAATTCTCACAGAAACAAGCCCTGCTCTTTCATTATGGTCCCTGTAGCAGCATATAACAAGTTGTAACAGGCTGGCTGTGGCTATCAGGAATTCTCCACCCTTTTAACAGGTGTTGATCTAGTTGTGGGAGGGATGGTTCAATTTATTTGGCAGACTATTACTGAAGCAGGTGTCTCTTTAATTATTACACATTAGTTGCATAAGTAAAAAAGGAGTGGCTTTCTGGCAGAAGATACAGAGTTTTCTGAAAGAGAAAGACTATCCCTATCCTAGATATATTGTACTTTTTTACTGGTTTATTTGCTTACTTCCTTGTGTCATGTAGAGTTGTGGTGCTCTGCCTGCTGTTGCTGTGCTAGTTTAAGCTGTTATACTGCTTTGGGGTTCTGTGGATGGGGTGCCTTGACAGGATAAAAATTTAATATTACACAGAACTCACACTGCATTTCTGTACATCCTCTGTTACTGAGCTCTCTCCAAACGGTTTGGATTTTCTAGATTGCATTGCCCACTCTTGCTCAGAGTCCTTTCACTTACCTTGGAATGTGACAAGGGAAGAGAAAAGCCAGTCCTGAGTCAGTATGAAGTACCTTTCTATGCTGGGTCTTGTTCTTTGCAAAGTGTTTGTTCTGTGAGAGTCTTGAAATCAAATTCTGTCAAGCTTCTACTTTGCTTTCATTTATTAGTGGCCCCCTATGTATAAGCCAGACCACTAAAAGCCTATGCCTGTTTAACAAGAGGCAGGCAGAAACAAAGAACTGATCTGCAGTGCCAGAAAACCTGGACTTTATTCCTTCCATCCACTGTTTGAGCAGCCTTTCCCTATCAGGTATTTACCTGGAGGGCAAACAGTTGCACAAAGAGGTGAAGCTTTCTCTGCTACCTCCAAAACAACCTGGGGCTCTAGAGAATGCGATATCCAGAATAAGCGTATCTTGCTTCCTCAGTAAAATGGCCTGCCAGGCATGCTGCGTTTTGCTACATACCAAGCACTGCAAGGTGGTGAAAAGAGGGCAGTGTCTCATAGGCAGGCTGTCTAAGTGCAAAGGAGATTTTCAATTTGAAAGACCATTTGAAAGAATGGGCTGAAAAGGGGAGGCTTTAGGCAGATGTTTTTCTCAAATATTTATAAAGACTTTTATGCCTCCTTTCATTTCTAGAAATTTTCAATCTACAGATCAAGCACACATATCCTTTAACATACATCTAAGGTCACACAAGGCAGTGCACTTCTTGCTCCAGAACACAAATGTATGGGGCTTTTCACCTCCAGATTTATGCTGTTTTGATATGGAAGTTTTAAACTGGCAACTAAGGTTTGAGTGTTTGTACCTGTAGTTATGAATGTGCACTCCAAAGTACCCCTGCTGTGAGATGCCCTTCTGGAAAGACCCATCATTTCATTTAAATCAGGCTTGCTTACTCCATACCTTGCTTTTAGCAGTGAAGGTGAGGCAGAAGTTGTGCTGGGTAAATACAGGATTTCTTATATTCTCTGTATGAATGTACTGATGAATCCAGCTCTGAAAGGTCACTTAGTTGCAAAAGTTATCTCTGATATGGGGGGGGGGGGGGGGGGGGGGCTGGACGGGGACGGAGAAGTTGTTTGGTTGAGTTTTTTGTAGTCAAAACTCTTTTAATGTCTGTGTAGAATTTGGCTCCCCTAACTTATTTTCAGAGTGTGTTCACATAGCTGGACTGTCACGGGTCTTGTTTTAAAGACCTGTGAAATGGGATCCCCTTCCCTGGCAACAGACAGTACTTGCCTCTGCCAAGTCCTTCTGCTGGGCCCAGCCAGCCTGCAGCCAGCTCCTTCACTTAGACTGCCTGTTTTCTTGATAACCCCCCACTGTTGCCAAAGGTGAGCCCTAAACATGTAGTCTGCTGAGGACCCCATCTATTAGCAAAAATGGATCCCCATGGTTAGGGATTTCCTGGAGAAGCTCCTGGAGTGAGCAGCCTCACAGTTTTGCTGCTGTGAGATTCAGCATGCAAGAGCCATGTGCTGCATCAGGCTCTGTAGGAAACCTAACCTACAGTCTGTTTCCCAGAAACAGATTAACCTGGTGATGTTCAAGATCTTCTTTGTACAGCTAAAACTTGGGCTGTGACTTCACTGTACTGGACCCCTGATAAAATTATAATGTCCTTTTAGTATTTCAAAGCATGTTTTCTTTACCACTGTAAAATTACACTTTTGGAAAAATTCCTAGACAGTAGAACTGCATTTTCGATTCATAGTTACAAACCAGGCTGCAGTCTGAGCTTCAAATTCCTGCATTTCTTAAAGGATCTGTAGCATCATTCTGCTAAGCACTTCAAGAATAGTTGCCTCAAACAGAGAAGGGGCAAGAGGTTTACTGCATTCTTTGTGAGCTGTTTAAATTCCATATAAGGCTGAGGTCAGTTTGCTAAAGGCAAGTGAAAGGTTTTATTACTGATTGGAGGTGTATGGAGTCAGAGTAGAAAACAGCTTTCTTAACAAATGGTTAATTAAAAAGCAAATATGTGATGACCTGAACTGAAAGCTGTCCCATCCCAGTCATCACTTTCCAGTATAACATGCTCTGTATTCAGAGAAGCTATGCATTCCCTTGTGCCTTATTATAACAAACAAACAAACAAACAAATGAACAAAAAACAAACCCAAAGCTGGGAACTGAATCCTTGTTGTTGTTTTACACATTTTCCTTAGGAAGTAGCCATTTGAACAGCTCCTTTTCCCTTAAGCTGGGGTGTGAGGATCTGGATGATAGCTGTAAGTACATACTTCTGATAAGAGCAGACTGTTGGCTGTGTGTTGGCTCAGCCTCATAATATCCTTCCCAATGTATTATCCCAGGCAAGACAAGAATGAATTAGCTGAGTGGGCTACGTGCAACCCTGTATCCGGTGTTTGTGTAGAAGAAGGACAGCATAGAATCAGGGTCTGCTGTCAAACTTGATTTATCCTTCTAGGAGTAAAGCCCTTTTTTTGAGTTCTGACATACCTCAAACTGAAAGAAAATGATAACAAAAGGATATGTCCATTTGGTGCTGTGCACAACATACTGGTTATCTTATTCTATGCTATGCAACATCTTAAAAAATTGCCAGCAGGGAGAAGTGATTTAGGATCTGTTTTCCTCAGCCTGTGGGGAGTGTAGATTACTTCCCCAATCAATGGCAGAGGATAAGCATCACAAGAAAAGGGGTGAGGATAATATTGGCGTAAGGTTACCAGTTTGAGTCAGGCCTTACTGAATAGCAGAGAAATTACCAAGATAAGCAGCATTGTTGCCTGGCTAGGAATTGAACCACCCTCCTGAAAATGAGTGGGCTGTTTAAAAGGACATGGCTCTGCAGGAAGGTATGAGTGGTGGTGTCTCTTCGTGGTGTGGTGACCTGGCTGCTGTACCTATGCAGAATCAGCTTCAGGGATCTCTCTCTGAGAAAAAAGGGGGAACCTAGAATGTCATATCTAACATCTGTGACACATCTGAAGAGTAAAATGTGGGCAGAGATGGACCTAAAATGGATCCATATTTCCCAAATATTTATTTCCAGAGCCTTGATTAAGCTTATAGGTAGAAGACCAGTTTTAAAGGATTTATTAAGATATCAAACAAGTGCAGAAAGGCAGTGCATATTTGCTGAGCACAGGGGTGCCTTAAATTCTGACAGGCATATGTTTTTATTTACTCTGTTCAGTTGCTCCATGTGTAGATTAAAACTCCAATAAACAAATGGATGAATCAAAAATGCAGTTATGCTGCTTAGAGAAATTATAAAGTGTCTTTCAAATACAATCAACAAGACATACTCTGCATCAAAGAGAACTTTAAATGTTATCAGGAAGGTCTAATTCAAACCACATCAATACTGTATTGTGGAAGTTGAGAAGGATAAATAGGGAGGCTTCTGGAAATTGTGCAAGCAGCTTGAATTGCTGACACTCGTAGAGGAGGTAAAGTATGTGCATTCTGATTTCCTGGGAAAGAGAAACTTAAGTGGAAACTATTGGATGAAACTACACAGCAAGAAAATTATTAGTCCCCTTGCTGCCAATTCTTTATGCTTGGTTAGCCTCTTTTAGGTGTTTCCTGGACTGATATTCTTCCTGTCCTTCAAATCCTAGGATAAGATAATTGAGTTGTTTTAACGTCTATGTAGAGTACCACTCTTTTCAAATATCCATCCCAGTTGATTTCCTGAGATAGACAAGACAAAATTCTTGTAAATCCTAGAAAGCTTATGGTAGACAGAGCATCATCTGTAAGAGCCTGTTCTTGGGCCCTGAGGCTGTTCCATGGCTGCCACTAGAAACCACAGTGAACTGAAAAAGTAACAGTGGAACAAGATACTGGACTTTGGTTTTGTGCAGTATACCTGAGATTGTCAGTATGAATTGGGAGCAGAGCAGCTGGGATTGCATCATAGTTCACCTGTGAATCACAGAATAGATTTGTCGTAAGGTGTGTCAGTGTTAGGTTAGCTGTTTCTGTTCATGCATAGTTCATGACAAGTCTCTATTAGAATGATTACTAATCTGCTTTACTTTTATCACTAGGGGTGTAACAGGTCTGTCCTCCTTCTGGAGGCGTATGCAATAATTCATGGCATGGTAATAGACTCATAAATTAGACCTCAAATTCCAGAGACAATTCTATACTTTAGATGTAAGAACTTGAGTTGTTTTCAGGGTTTTCTTGCTTGGAATACTTTTTCTTGTGTTATTCATGGTATATTTTGGATCATACATTGAGATATATGTGTAAATTAAGGTAGTAATGAAACTGTAATTTCTTCAGGGCCAGGTAACAGGA